GTCAGAGCCAGGCCGGTTGCCGCCTCGGCGCTAGTAGCGAAGGAGCGCAGCCCAGGGGGCGCAGCCCGGGACCTGGAGCCCACCCGCCTGATGAAAGGTGCGAGACGTCCGCGGGGCAGAGCCCGGGACCCGCGTTTCGGCCGCCGCTGGGGACTCGGGGAAGTCGTTTGGCTTCTCACAGGCCCCGTATCCAACGGACAAAGAGTCCGTTGGAAGATTGGACCGATTTATGCTGTCCTAGAGAAGTTCTGGGGATCCCACCAAGCGATAAGATGGTGTGAATTAGAAGCCTGTGGGAGAGGAGAGGGACAGGTGCAGTCTCTGAGTCTGTGACCACGGTGACCCCACGGGAATCAGATGTGTCCACCCCTGGAGGCCTGTGACCGTCCAAGGAGAGCATTATTTCAGGGCTTCCTAGTCATAGATGAGAATCCCTCTTATTTTAAGCTGGGCTGGATTGGCGTGGCCATTGTGTGGAATCAGGGTTTCCTCAGCACACAAGTCTGGCCGCCCTAAGGTTGTTAGAACGAGCCCTCCAACTGGGGCTCCTAGCAGCCCAGATCCCCCACAGTTGACTCTCCAGCCTACTCACAGAGCTCCATATATTCACTTACGTGGCGCTCTCACAAGTAAACTGATAACTGATCTTGCGTTCATGTGTACTAAGGAGTTAATGTTTAATTTTCCCTGGTCGACCTTGTGTAGCTCCAAAGCTGAGTTATTTTAAGGGGATCAGGCTTTCCTCAGAGGACTATCACAAGTGATCTTTTTTCTGGTGTCTTCTTCTGGATTAGCCCACCTCACCTGTAAGCCATCTGAGACTAGATTTGCTATTCATTCAACATTTACTGAGCGGTCTCTTTGTGCCAGGCACTGTTCTTGGTACTAAGGATAAGGCAGTAAATAAAACCAAGTCATGGAACTTACATTCTAGTGGGTGTAGGGATAGAGAGATGATCCGCAAGTAAATGTAGCTCTATGGTGACAAAGGCTATGAAGAAATATACAGTAGGGTAAGAATAGAGTGACAGAAGAAGTGATATTTTATTTTATACAGGGAGGTCAGGGATGGGCCCATCCCTCATATTTGCAGGGCCTGGGCCAACAGGACAAATGGAAGCCCACATATCATATGTCCACATATTTAAAAATTATAAACCAAGTCACACTGTTATGTTAAATTCCTATCCTTTTATTTTGACAGGTATACCTTCATAATAATATGGAGGGCCAGATTTAAGTTTAGAATTCTTGGACTCTCCTAAGATGTGCACTGGAATGGGGCCACTTAGGTGGTAACTGGTCCCTGGCCCTCAACTTAACTGCTGCTCTTTGCACCTCAGCTGTATCCCACACTTCAAGATGCCTGCACCTGTAACATCCCTGTCTAACATCTGAGCTCCTTTCACATCTACCCCAAATAGCTACTCCTTGGCTCCTCAAGAGGACAGATCTTGGGAAAAGCCTGATACAGTCACTAGAAGCTGGCCTGGTGCTATTGGGGCAGTGAAGTTTAGGGTCTCAGGTACCAGCAGTATGATCTAAGAAGAGGAGATAAACAGGAGCTTTGGGTGGGCGCTTCCCCTTGGCCCGTGGGCTTCTAGCTCTATGGAAAGGGACATGGCTGGAAGAGAGCTGGAGAGCTCAGAAACCAAGGCAGAGGCTCCTCTTGCTCCAGTCTTAAGGCAGTTCTAATGACATAACATTTGCGCCAAAGACCCAAATGAAGAATGGGAGGGAAACTTGTGGTGATCTGGGATAAGAGCATTCCAGGCAGAGATCTGGAGGTTGGTGCTTTTGCTGCCTTCATGCATTCATATTCTCTGTGCCAAAGTCTTGAGCTCCATAAAGAAATTACATATCGACCAGTTAGTACCTCCCCAACCTGGATGCTGTGTGCTCCTGCCTGAGAGTCAGCCCCTGTACAGCTTCTGCCTCCCACTTCCCTCACTCCTAGCAGGCCTGGCCTGGGGTCATCTGGATAGATAGTCCCCTAGCAACCTTAGATTCCAAGGATTGGAAGTACTCCAGCAGCTAGATCACGTGCCAGTAAAGGTCAGGTGCCTTCAGTTGTGTCTATTGTTAAGCAGTGTTGTAGTTACCTTCCCCAGGGAATTCCCTGGGCGTTAAGGGGACAATGCTGAATGTGCAGAGCACCTGGCAAGGACAACCCACGCAAATGCACAAAGATTTGCTTGTTCACACATCTATATCAGAACATCAGAAATGGGAAAGAATACAAACGACCTGAATGGAGTAGATAAAGTTTCTTGGCAAATGGGGCCAAAGAAATTAGCACTGAGAGTTGTAAAACGTGGGGCTTCAGTATCTCAGAACAGCAATACAGGGATTTTCAACTTGAAGTCTTGGAAGTCTGTTCGAACAGAATCTTAAAAGGAGTCTTAAAGAGACAAAAGCAAGCTGAAGGCTGTGACCTACGGCAATATCCACTTTCTGTGGTCCATGGAGCTTCTTGGGAACCTCAGGACTCCCCAGGCCACCATTCGAAAACCACTGGTCTAGAACCGAAAGCAGAAAACATAAATATCACAACTTCCCTGCTTGCCTTTCCAGGAGCTCCCTGGGATGAAAAGGTGGCAGAGGAGGAAATCTACTCAGGAATGAGGTATGGAGGGGGAAGATGTGCTGAGGAAAGCAAGCATTGAAAATGGGGCAAAGGGGGACTTTGGAATTCCTACTTAGGTCCCCTGTTGCTCTTCCTGCATACAAGCTGTAGGAAAGTAAGCCAAGATAAATCAGATGAGAGAACAAGAACAATATTGACTAATAGTTTGCACCTACTGTTCTGAGCACTTATTAGATGTTGCTCATTTAATCCTCACACCAACCCGGAAGTTGAGAGTGTCATTGTCCCATTTTTACAGATGACCGAGTTCCAAGAAACCCTGTTGACTTTCCCACTTGTGAATCATTTGTGTGTTATAAAAAAGAGGGAATTTGGGAGTCTGTCAACCAAAAATGAGATAGATGGTAAGAGGAATGCAGTTCATACACCAGTACAGATAATTATGGTGAGCAACAGAATAGTGTTTGGTAAAATGTGTCAGCTGGTAGCAGAGCATTAGATGACCTTCCACCTCCTCATTAGCACCGAGGATCAGAGGGGGGTGTGTGCAGCTGGAAGGCAAGTGCCCAGCAGCGGAGAAGGGGTCTCTCTGCTTTGTCCCTTCAGAACTCACCTCTTGGTCTTCCAGATGAACCTTTCCATAGCTGGGGTCAGTTAGAATATCAATTCCGAAAGTCAGAAGAGAGTAAGAGTCTGTACTGTTAGATATGGCAGGAAAGAGAAGGCACATTCCAAAGGCTGCTGACGGGAATTTAATGGATGGACTATTTACAGAGGGGTGTGCAGGGTAGAGGGAACTGACAAGAGATGTGAGGTCCCTAATGACTGAAAACCGGAAGAAGTCCTTTGAGCACACCTCCACGGAGGAGGCAAGGGGAGCGAACTGTGTGGAAAACCAGTGGGAGCTGAAGTCGGGGAAGAGGGGCCACCCAACCTGAGCCATGACCGCAAAATGCCACCACTGCCAAGGACACAGCAGGGAGGAGAGCAGGGAGGCACCGGGAATGTCTCACTTCCACCTCCGGCTCCTCCAGTCCTGGATGTCTTGCCAGCGCCTCCCACTGGCCAAACCCAATCAGATCTAGAGGTGAGAGTGCACTGATTATAGTCCACAGAAGTGAGCTTCCAAGACAAAAGGTGGGGTAGAGGAGGATGGAGAATGCAGAATACTGTATCCAAACTTGGGCCCTTCAAGACCTTGGAAATGAGAATGGAAAACATGAAAATCCTTGATGGTCCTTCTCTGAGTCTCCTGGGTGGGAGCAGGGAACTAGAAATCTACGCGCCCACCAGAGAGCCAGCACAAGAGAGCTGCTAAGCAGTTCCTTCCAGCTCCTCATTCCTTCCTGTTCACACTCAGTCCAGTTGTCTTATTCTTTATCTGTCGAGGAGACTGAAGCCCAGAAAGGTAAAGGGACTTGCTCAAGGCCACACAGCAAGGTGATGGTGGAATCCATTTCTGTCAGGCTTTCCAACATAGCTATTGAAGTACTGGGAACCTCAGTGCAAGGGATATTTAGGGCAGAACCCCATGTTCAGGTAGAGCGTCCCTGGTCCCCAGGTCACTTGTTGGCAATTCAAAAGGAATAGGCAATCCTCCCTCAATGTCTCTCATACCCTGTGCACTTACCCCCTTCCCCACCAAAGACTAATTCTTTAAAGTGGAATGAAGCTATGAGGCTGTACAGTCAAGGCCTTCTTGTCTGGGCTCTCTGGCCAATACCAGGAGTGAAGCCTTTCGGGAACCTGCAAGTCATCAAATGAGGCCTGAAGTCAAAAGCAAGAAGGCCACATTGCTGGGGTGCTGGGGTGGAGGGTGTCCAATCTTCCCCGTAGGAGGCTTCAGGGCCCTGCCAGCTTTGTGATTCTGTGAGATTGATCTGGGGGAACTTTAGGCTTCCAGAGTAGAGGTCCTAATTTTAAATAGTTCCTGCCACGACTTAAGGGTGTCTCCTGGAGTTCTTGCATAGCCAATAAATGTACATAACTATAAAGTATAACACTATTTCTGTGAAAGGACAGAGTTTATACACTTTATACATATGTATGTATAAAACAGGAGCATTCTCAGGATTTGCCTGAAGAGAAATATAACAAGGTCAGCATGTCAGTGGCTGCACTATGCATGTGGGTGCGGAGGGAAAGGGGTGGGAGGAGCAGGGACAGGTTGGAAGTGGGCCATCAGCTGAGGCTAGGATGGGGACACTTCTTCCCCAAAGCCACCAGTTTTGGAACTTGCTTGGAAGGTGCTGGGGTGTGGTAGTTGAACAGAGGTTATTTTAAGTGTGGAGTTCTCATCTATGAATGCCATGGTGATCATATCTTATTCATCTGTGGTTCCACAAGTCCTCAGACCAGTTTTACCAGTCCAAGGGTGAAAAAATTTTTTTCATTTTGAAATTATGTATTTCTTAAATATTTCTTTTGAAAATGAAATAATTAAGAGATGAATAGAGCACAGAAAATTCTTAGAGCAGTGCAACTACTCTGTCAGATACTATAATGGTGGATGCATGTCATTATACATTTGTCCAACATCACCAAGAGAGAACCATACTGTAACCTGTAGACTCAGTGTTATGATGTGTCACTGTAGGTTCATTGATTGTAACAAAGGTACTGCTCTGGTGGGGACACTGGTAATGGGAGAGGCATGTGTAGGGACGGGGGTATGGAAGAACTCTGTACTTTCTACTTAATTTTGCTGCCAACTTAAAACTGCTGTAAAAAATAAAGTGAATAAAAAATGAAATAATGATGATAAAGGACAGGTAACTTAAAAAAATTATACTTAATAGAAAAATCAAATTTGGTACCCTATTTGATCCCTGAAGTATTTTGGGAAACATTGCTGGCCTATGACAATCACAAAAAGAGTTTATGAGATTGACTTGTTGAATGTGTAAAGCTCAGGCCACACTTGGCTGGCTCTTGCCGTCAGAGTGAGAGCCTTTCTAGTGCCAATTGCCCACCTGCAGAAAGACATTTTCCACGATCTGGAATTCAGAGCTTGGGTGAAATGTATAGAGGGCATTCAACTGTCATGGATCTGAGCAGAAAGCTAACAGCAATCACCTCCCAGTTTGGAATTACTGAGGCTTACTATGGACCAAGCACTGCGCTAAGTAAAGGGGCTTGGGGTGGGGGGTATGGGGGTATATGTCGGCGAATAACACCCCTGTGTCCCCTCTCAAGTAAGGAACAAACGTAAGAAACAAATAGACTAGAACTCCTCCACTTCCTTACAGATGAAGCTGAATGGAGAATGTGGCTTAGACGTGCTTCCACAGAGAATCCCTAATTGAGCATAACCGCCAACTGCAGGCCCTCTCCGCAGGGGCTGCACCTGTCTGGGGAGCCGGCTGAACAAATGAGGAGACACCAGGAGGCACCTGCCCGCACGCTGGCGGGTCCCAGGGAAGGAGACCCTGGCAGGGACTGAGCCACACTGTTGATTGAGTGCCTTTCCCCAGGTTTACCGATTAAGGCCCCTGTCCTCCCTCTCAGCAAGGTGAGTGAGGACCAGGGAAAAGCCAGGCGTGTCGTTCCTTGGCTCGTTCTCTTTCAGGGAGGGGATGGAGTGGAAATCCCACTGTCAACCCTGAGTGTTTTGGATGTTTTATCTCACTTAATCCTCAGAACTATCCTATGATGTTGTGATCTCCACTTTGCAGACCTGGCCACTGAGTTACAGAGAGCTAAATAACTTGCCCAAGTTCACACAGCTATAAGAGGGCAGAGCTCGATTTCAGCACCAGATCTCTGTGTCTCCAAAGCTCGTGCTTAACCGCAGATCTGCAGTGGCCTCCAGGATGTCCTGGATGGAGTCCCTGAGACCATGCCCTCCAAATTCAGCAATGGTGGTCAAAATGGCTAAGGTACATACCACAGTTCTATATCTATAAATATATCTTACAGCTGTACCTGTGAAAATGTCTACAGGCCTAGGAAGGCCACCCTGGCTCCCACATGAAGGGTGAATCATAGGACCCTGCTCTTAATGCCTTATAAACCATCCTGAAGTTGTCCCTGCGCACAAAGAAATTTAGTACATGTGTTAAAACTGGAAATCTGAATGTCTGAAGCCCAGCTGTCGGTACAGGGTCAGCTCTAGCTATTGTAGGGGTTCAGGGGTTGCTTTTCTCTTTCTTGTCATATAGCCGTTAAAATAGTGAGGTGGACTTACGTTAATGACACAGAAAGGTACCCAAGATAAATCAAGTGAAAAAAGCAAGTGGCAGGACAGTATGTATCACATGATCGTGTTTGTGTAAATATTTCAAAGATATGCATGCATATACGTGCATTATTCTTAAATAAATGTGCCTCTGAATTTATAGAAAACCTTTGGTTAACTTACCAGAATTGCCTGTTGTATTACCTCTTGGGTGGCCATGGTGGGAAGGAAATTTTTTATGTTGTGACTGTTTTATTTGAAAAAATTTTTCATGCTCATAAATTCACTTTAAAAAAATCAACTTTACTGAGGTATAATTTACACACAATAGAATTCACTCATCTTCAGTGTACATTTCAATGTGTTTTAAGAAATGGTGTGTACCTACATAGCTAACAGTGGAATCAAAATAGAGAACATGTCTGTCTCCGCATAAAGTTCACTTGTACACTTTAAAGTTCAGCCTTCCTACCCCCGCACCCCCTAGCCCCAGCCCCAGGCAACCCCGGATCTGCTTTTTGTCACTATAGTTTAGTTCTGCTTATTCTAGAACTTTATACAAATGGGACCATACAGACGAAACTGTTTTGGTTTTAGCTGGTTTTGCTCGGCATAATGTTTTGAGATTCATTCTTCTTGTGGCATTTCCTCAAAAAGTTCAACACAGAGTTTATCCATTTTTCATTTTTCAGTTTTATTAGGTAGAATTGTTACAGTTTGACTGCACATGTACAATATATTGTGTGTAAATACATATACACAATATACTGCACATATTTTTAAACTTACATATATGTACTGTTTATTGTTTCT